CATACTTTGTTAGCTCCTTTTTACTCTGCTCTTCAATGGTCAGGACCCCCACAGGACCACCACAGAGCAGGTAGTATTTGGGTGGTGGATCATTCTCAGCACTGCAGTAACACTGACGTGGTGGTGATGTGTTAGTGTGTGTTGCGCTGGTCTGAGTGGATCAGACACCACAGTGCTGCTGGAGTTTTTACACACCTCAGTGTCACTGCTGGACTGAGAATAGTCCACCAACCAAAAATATCCAGCCAACAGCGTCCTGTGGGCAGCATCCTGTGACCACTGATGAAGGACTAGAGGATGACCAACACAAACTGTGCAGCAGCAGATGAGCTATCGTCTCTGACTTTACATCTACAAGGTGGACTGACAAGGTAGGAGTGTCTAATAGAGTGTTACACAATAAATGTTTAACCTGTTAACTGCTTTTATATTGGATAAAACAGGTTTAAAATATTGTAATTCAGAGTGTGTGAAAGTTGTGAAAGTTTTTGGAGAGAAACTCCCGTTTCACCCCTTGCCCCTACCACTTAGCCCTTACCTCTCTGTTTTGGGTGTTCATGTCTAGGGAGTAGGGTGTCCTGACTTTTGTTGAGATAGAGGGGTAGGGCGAAGTGTTAGGGCTACATGGCTACATTTTTTGGAGGCACATTCCAAACAGAGTAAAACCAGCAACATGGCTGCACGAGCGACCAAAGAAACCCACAAATGCGAGAATCATAAAAAATTACGATAACCATTGTATTACCTTAGTTTAATGTTGTTTCAAAATATTATGGTCCTTTTCTTTATAACAAGCATAAAAATTTGCTAGTAGTTTGCTGATGTCTTGGTAGCTAACTAGCTAAATTTCCTGTTCCACCTTGAACGGTGCAGCAGTTACCTTCTGGTGCCTCAGGTGCACAACTGCTGTTCCATTTAAGGTGGAACAGGAAAAAATCGAACAAGAGGCTGACAAATAGCTGACTTCAGCTTCATATCACCGAAGAATTAGGAGTGGGCGATAAATAAGTGTTGCATCCCCTCTTTGAAAGCATATGATGCCCTAAATTTAACCATAGCCCAGCAGTGAGGTTGCTGAACTTTACCCTCCTCTGCTATCACTGCAGACTGGCAGGGTCGCCTGCAGAGCAGCACTAGTAGCTGTTAATAATGTTCTTTTTTATTTGACGGTCCCATTTTGTAGGAAAGATTTTAACCACTACCTCTTGTAACTCAGTTCCAAGGGGCAAAGTGACACTCGAAAACAAGAGGTAGGGGTAAAAGTAAGAAGTTGGGAGTTAGAGACTTATTTCTTTACAGTGGTGGTGACGGGAAACCCAGAATCAGAATATCTACAACACAAATAAAGCCATTTAATTTACTATCCAAAAGAGTCTTCTGAGTTTTTTATGTAATGTTGATGGTAAAATAGTGCTACATCTTTCTTTGGGGACTATTTTTCTTAACAACACCCTGCATATATTTCTCAGCCATGACTGCTTTTTTATTTACAGTTTTGAAAATGGCATTTATTTTTCTTATTGAGAAACCTGCTTAGAGACCCAGAGTTCCTAATATGGTCTTGATGGCAACTAGAGGATAAACTCTTCAGACGTCTGGTTCCTATTACCACCACTGTGAACAATTCTGACTCACTCTCACGTCAAACCAGTTGGTGGAATTCCCCTTTAAGAATTATGACATGTTGACCTACTAACACGAGCTCCATTAACTGCCATGCTATATATGACCGAAATGTGTGTGCAACCAGCAAGCCAGCTTAAAGTGATAAATAAATGCACTTATTAGGTGAATGCACGAGGGAAGTCTTAGCGCGCAAGAAAACATCAGAGCGTAATTCAGGAGAATGTGCTGGCTGGACATGGCTGGCTGTTATTTTATTAATGCAGTGTTCAAAATGCCTGCAGGGGGAAAATATTCCAGTCTGTCAAAAACAGGAGGATCAGAGACCTACCACACACACCCCACAAACACATCCACATTCTCTCTCTCTCTCGATCGCTTGCTTGCTCTGTCTCCCTCGCTCACTCAATATTGCTTGCTCACTCAATATTTCTCTCTCCATCTCCCCCTCGCTCTGGCAGTATGTCTGTGTTTGGCACAACAAATGAACGCTACAGTGGTGCACTGGAGCCGCGAGATCATAAACAGGAGAGCGCTTGTGGACAGCAACAGTAATAAGGGTGGGTGATAATTAGCAGGGTTTAGATTTTAGTACCAGCATTTAGAGTGACACTTAACACGTCTCGAATCAACACCTTGTTCTTGATGTAAAGCACTACACTCTTAAATGAATAGTTGACACAATTTACACAACTTTCCACTCACCCCTCCTTTAGTCAGCCAAGACATGTCTGGTGTCCAAATTTTGCTTCTTTTAGTTTAGCGCTGGAGCTGCGATACTAATGTAGCTAATGAACATTAGAAGTCAATAGTCACCCAAATCTTTTCCATGAGTACATCCCCAAAACTTCTTTAAACCTGCTCATACCACATCCAGGCCTTTATTAAGGTCACGCAGACTTATCAATGTGGTTTAGGCCATAGTAGGACTTACTGTGAGCTATAAAACAAACAGAATTGAGGGGGTTTGAATGAACACAAGTGCTGACTTCTGCAGAAAAACTTGTCTAGACGTCATTATGACCCTCCGACTCTGACATTCTCAAAGACTCCATTTCCCAGAACTCGTTGGGAGATTACATGACCCTTGATGATGAATCTCGACAATCCACCAATCACAGTTCCCGTTCACCTGAGTACTAACCTGTCTCACCTGTTATGTGTATCATATGACTAGATCTAGCTTAATATTTAAGCCTGGGCTTTAGTATAGGTTCTTTGTGGGGTATTGCTTCTCTCTGTGATATTGTTTTCCTGACCGTATTTTTGGACTTCCTGACTTTGCCTTGTTGTCTTTGCCCTTTTGGATCTGGTTGCCTGATATCATTTTGCTATGTTTGTCATTCTCTGTATTTTGGCCTTTTTGGATTTGACCTGTTTACCGACTGCGAGCATTGTCAAACCCTTTACAAGTAAGGCCTCATTTCATGTTTTTACTGCAAACGTCTGGCTCGTTCAGTCTTACACCTGATGAATTTTAAACCTAAAAATAATGGTGGACAAAGTTGTTTATAAGCAATATCAGTAAGCTACTTTAAAGTGCTTAATGTTTCAAAATCATAACATTTAATTTGCTGGGCTTTAGGTTGCAAACCACTCCATCATTTATAAATGACTGCTAATACATTTTTTTTACTCTGCTAACTTGCTAATTAGCATGCTAAAAGGCTAAACAGCAAACAACAAGAAAAAGAAAGGCTCTAGACTACAGCTCTAAACCACCGTTATAGCAACTCTGGCCATAAAAAGTCAGATGCTGATGTTGGACTATAAGGCCTGGCTCACAGCTGGAGCTGATCTATCAGGACAGAAATTTCACAAACTGGAAAAGGTGGCATCCTATGACAGCGCTATGTTTAAATACACTGAGCTTTTCAGTTCGACCCATTCTACTGTCAGTGTTTCTCTATGGAGACTGCAGGGCTATGTATTTGATTTAACGCTCCTGTTAGCAATAGGTGTGTCTGAAACACCTGAACTTAATAATCAGGAGGGGTAATATGATATAAAAGATATAATAAGCATATATCGGTCCGCTGGCTTGATGAGGTCGGCACCCCATTGACTATTTGCCACTGTTAGTCCACCCTCGGACCACTTAGATTATTGTCCTGCATACAAACTCAAACTAGTTTTTAATTTCCTCAAATAGATTTTAAACACACAGATACCTTTATTTTAGAAAACAAACTTAAAATAAATATTGCTCAAGAAAAATATTACAAACAACTGAGAGAAAAAAATAATAACTAATAATGAATATAAAATGATTTTGTTGAAAATGTTGTTGCTGACACTGTGCTAGATTAAAATTATGTACTAAACTAATCCATCCATCCATTCATCTGTCTGTCTATCTATCTATCTATCTATCTATCTATCTATCTATCTATCTATCTATCTATCTATCTATCTATCTCAAACCCAGCCCATAATTCTATGTAGAGAGTGTAGTGAGATGGTCTGATCAGGTCGTAAAGGGGATCAGATTTACTGGATCATTAGAACACAGAGCACTTCAGGAACAAACTGCGTGCTTTGAGAACAGTCATAAATTTGACAGCCGTTTATTGATCCCTGAGGGGGAAAGCTGGGCGCAACAGTTGCTGAAGAACACGTGACATTATATAGAGAATAAATACAACGAATTACACACACAACACAGCCTATTCACATACACACACACACAAAGACACCAGTGCACGAGACAATCGCAGCCCTCTGAGGTTTCCAGGAGTCGCTTGTTTTTACAATTGACAGATGAAACGATCAGCGTGCAGCTCTCACTTCTGATTGGTCATTCATCACCAATCCCTTCATCTGATATGAGACGAGGTGGGTCGTCTCTCAGTCCATTTTACTGAACGGCGCTGTCAGTTTACCCCATCCCTTACCTTCCCAATGTCTCTCTCTCTCCCTCTCCCTCTCTCTCTCTCTCTCTCTCTCTCTCTCTCTCTCTCTCTCTCTCTCTCTGCCCCCCCTCTCCGGTTTGCAGCAGACACGGAATGTTTTCTCCTAACTCGCTCCCGCGCGCGTATACGTGTGTGTGTTAGTGCGCGCGCGCGCTTGTGTGTGTGCGTGTGCTGCTCCTAGCGTCCGAGCCTCGTAAGCGCGCGCACATCGCACACGCACAGGTCCACCTTCCAGCCAGCCTCGTCTCGAGCCTTGCGTCCGTCTCTTTCTCCCCACAACCGATCCCACCTCAAAAAACAGCAGCAGCGCTGTTTCTCTCCCAGCACTCCGTCTATCAGACCCCCCCTCCACAAAACCCACCCACCCACCCTCCGTGACCGTGAACGGCTGCAAGTGCTGACCTCTGGCTGGCGGTCGAGAGAAAGAGAGAGAGAGAGCGCGCGCGCGAGAGAGAGAGAGAGAGAGAGAGAGAGAGAGAGAGAAAGAGAAAGAGAAGCAGAGGAACGGAGCCACGGCGCGTGAGAGGAGCTGATCTGAGACCGACGAATGTGATGAGGATCGTCGCGAGCGCTCGACGACGCAGCAGCAGCACCGGCGGAATCGCTCTCGGATCGTAAAAGAAGACGGGGCGGGAAGGAAGAGAGAGGAGCAGGAGAGAGAGGGAGAGAGAGCTGCCGTTGTCGCTGGGGCGGCGGGAGAGAGCGAGAAAGAGAGAGGGGAGAGAGGGAATGCACCTCTTCAGTGCCATGTTTCTGCTGCTCATGTTAGCTGCCCTGCCGTGCGAGGTAAGGCGCGTGCTGCCCGTTTTCTTGATCTGTAAACAACAACAGTAACAACAAAAGCGAGCCCAGCCTAATTGATTGCATGTATGCGCTTGTATGTCAAAACTGGGCGAATGAATGGAAAAAGTCCCTCCATTCTGAAGAGGTGGATAGCAGATTTGCCTCGTGGTCTTCAGGAGAGCAAAGTTAGACTAAATACATGACTTTTGGCCCTCATTGGCGTTGAGACTGAATTTAAAAATTAAAGTTATTTGATTATGAATGAGATTAGATGCAGAAATATGGCCATAAGCTACATTGGAGATGTGTGGTGAACTTGGTTGGAAATTTGACATGCAGGAGAAATGCACAAGTTTATCTTTTCGGGCCTTTTTTAGTCAGATAAGGGACAATGCAGCTGTAGGACTGATGTAAGGAGCTGGTATAGCAAGCAGAGCTTATTCATACAGCCATTACTATGTATTTGTGTGCACACGTGATGTTCCACTAGTGAATACTTAAGGATCTCACTTTGGTGGGCGCTCTCAGTTTCTTTGGGAAGTTGATCTGTGTGTGTTTCTCTTCCTTGCCTGATGATAAGCGAAGTGACAGTTCTAAACTGAAGCGAAAGACAGAACCTGACCTAGAAATATCCTGAGACCATCCAAAGCCTTATCTAAATCAAACTGTGTTTTAAGCCTGTTTGCCTTTGACATTATAAGTGAAATTGTGTTCACTGAAATGCTACTACTGTGCTTGATGGTGTACAGGGCTTGGAAATCTGATGTCATAAAGCAGTGTTTTATGGGTGATCCGCCATTGTGGCAGGGTTCGTCAGTCGAGGCAGGTTTAGAGTAGTTGAAGTAGAAGTAGTTTTCAACCTGCTTGCCTTGATTTTGGCTGATCTGTGGCTCAAACTCTTATTAAATATGTCTGCAGAGATGACTAGCGTGTAGATCTACATGACTACCAGAGATCAACATCAAGAAAAACATCAGAAACGAAGGTTTAATCAGATATTTAGACGAAGCTCTGGTTAAACAGCACATATGAAGCATTGCAGTGAAAGTGTTAATAAGCATAAAGCTCAAGCTTATTTTACAGATCTCAAATAGATCTAAAAGAAATAAAACATTTAACACCAATTAATGGATTTGTCACATTTGGAAGCAGCTAACTCTCTTCAGAGAGGTCTCAGGAGTGCCAGGATGTAACTGCTGCACTATTTAAGCTGGAATGGAAGATTTGAATAAAAAGCTAGGAAGCAAATCTCAGCATTGTGGTAAGATGTACAGTGATTCCAACACTGACATTACTGCTCAACAAACCTAACGTTTACCTTTCAATACGTGCCGTAATCCAGCTAAAATGCAGCCACAAGGCATGAGGTGAAGTAAGTTAAGCTGCCTACAGTGGAATATGCCTAAGCTGACAGAAATACGCCAGTAACTGAGCTAAATCAAAGACTGTGTGAATCCTCTCTGGTTAGATATGTCACTGGCTGCGTGAATAACATTACCTGAGGTAAATCTGTCAGTAGCTGAGTGAAATATAGCAGTAACTGAGGTAAATCTGCCAGTAGCTGATTGAAATATAGCAGTAACTGAGGTAAATCTGCCAATTGCTGACTGAAATATAGCAGTAACTGAGGTAAATCTGCCAGTAGCTGATTGAAATATAGCAGTAACTGAGGTAAATCTGCCAATTGCTGACTGAAATATAGCAGTAACTGAGGTAAATCTGCCAGTAGCTGATTGAAATATAGCAGTAACTGAGGTAAATCTGCCAGTAGCTGATTGAAATATAGCAGTAACTGAGGTAAATCTGCCAGTAGCTGATTGAAATATAGCAGTAACTGAGGTAAATCTGCCAGTGGTTGAAAGAAATATGGCAGTAACTGAGGTGAATCTGCAGGCAGCTGAGTGAAAGATGTCAGTAAGCTATGTTAGCTAACTGAGTGAAATCAAAGTCCTTATAGTAAAGTCTGTTCACTTGGCACCCATCTTTGCAACACTGCTGGGCACTTATTTCCAGCCATACAAGCCCACACTCATCTCTTTTAATGGGAAATTGAAGGTCCAAAAAAAAAACAAAAACAAATGAAATTTCAGGTAAACTCTAACAAAAATCTCATAATTTGTAGCATTGGCTCAGTAAAGCACAAAAAACATGATTTTTTTTTGGGTTGTTCTGGCTGTTGTGCTTGCACAGATTTCCACAACAAGAGGGTCTTTCTCCACTAGCGCCACAATGTTGTTGACTTTTCTCTGCTTGCAGCATAACTAGTAAGCTGATTGGCTCTTTTTATTGAAGGATGGGACTTTCTCCGTAAATGCCATGTTGAGCATTACGAGCTATCCCATTCATATTTTAACCAGTGACCATTTATAATGTTTCAGGTGAAATTCACTGTGGCTGAAGCAAATATGGCAGTAACAGACTAAAATATGCCGGAGGCTCAGGGAAATAACCATTTGTAAACTGTACATGGGTTTCGAGTGACTTAAAAATTTTGACCTACTCTAAAGAATAGGCACTTAAGCCTTACACTAAGCTAGGAAAACTCTGTAAATGAAAGAAGAGGTAATGTTAGCATGCTCAGATTGTTACTGCACTTGTTGTTTGGGAATTTGTGGCCGTCAGTAAGGCTGATTTTATCATGATGTAGTTTTTTGCCATCTTACTAAGATACTTTCCCATTTTATTTGATTTAATAGAGCCGCAATTTTTTAGGCTTTTGCAGTGTGAGTATTTGCAGCATGCAAACAAAGAACGAACCCTGCCAATGTGGCGGAACGATCCCATAATGCAGCACGACATGACGTACTTTCTGAAGTCCTATTACACACAAGTAGTTTCTGAGGTCACGTGATCACCTCCTTGTCCTTTCCGCCCTGTCAGGTGACCTGGTCAACCAAGATTGGCCATTCGTTTGAGGCCCCATTTGTAAAACTGTGTTTTAAAAAGTGCTAAACTGCTTTGTGGCCATCTTGGCACTGTTGTGGATGATGTGGATGATCGCCGTTTGATTCACTCAGCATGGTTTCTCCCTGCTGACTACTCTAGTGCGATGAATGAATGCCCCCCTCACCCCCCATGCTGAGCTGCAGTATTGGTGTTTTCGCGAACATCTCTGCTTTATAGGCTATTTTTGCTCTCCTGGAGAAAGGAGGAATATCAGTACGGATGGCTCATGACCCTACTGTTTTGATATAAACCTAAAGTCTCTGACTGATGCTGATGCTGGTGCTAATTTAACTTCTGGAGTGTTTGAAACAAGACGGCATCAGCGTCCAGCTGGAACGAGCCCAAGTTTAGCTTAGGAGAGAATCTAGAATGCTAATAGGGTTGTTAGAGAGGGTTAGAGAGGGTTCCTGCGCTTGGAATGAGGGCAGTGAAGGGCTGAGCCACTGCTGCAGACAGACAGCACTCAGCCCGCACGGATGGGCTTGAAGATGCGCGGAGATACATGTCTGTTGGTAACTTCTGTTACTGTTTCTGCTGCACAAAAGCCTCGTAATTGGCCTTAGGGGACAATTTGCTGTAAGTGTTTGCATTAAATATTTAAGGGAGTAAGGGGATAAAAACGACGGCACCCTTAATGTAGCAATGCTAACATAAAGAATTGATGAAGTCTTCCTTGATAGGCACATTCCACTGAAGAGGCCAAGGGGAGATACACACAGCTATATGTGCATGTTTGTATTACTATCTTTGTGGGTGTTTCCATTGACATCTGTAGCTAAATGCTACTGTATCTAAATGCTACTGTGCTAGCTAACTTTTAGGGGGGGGGAGCTAATTTACTTTGTCTTTATTTTACACTTATCCAAGATGTAGTCGATCAGCCAAGACAAGTTTGATGTCTACATTTTGCTTCTTTAGTTTCGCACTGGAGCTACATGGCTAATGGTGCTAACAAACACTAGAAATCACTAGTCACGCAAATTTGTTCTCTAAATACGTCCTCTAAACTTTTCTCAACCCACTCAAACTGAATCCAGGTCTTCATTGAGGTTGTGCAGACATGTTGATGTGGTTTAGAGGACAAAATGAAAAAAAAGTGGCCAGCCATTTTAGTGTTGTGCCGAGTTCTCCTCATGCAAGCATGTGGACACTACAGATTAAATTTGATTTCTTTATTCTTTTTTTGTTTTTTATAAGTCTGGGGACGTATTTGTGGAAAAGATTTTGGGCAGCTATTGACCTCTAGTGTTTCTTAGCAGCATTAGCTTCATAGCTCCAGTGCTAAGCTAAAGCAAAATTTGTACACCAAATGTATCTTGGCTCATAGACTACACTTGGAAAATTGTGTAAATTGTGTAGATTTTTCACCATTCCTTTCACCTCAGGGACAAAACAGGCCTTTTATGTTTTCAACATAAAAGCTAAAAGATCCCACAACTAGCATATGTTCATCATCCCGCCACATATGGTCCCCACAAAGAGCTAAATACGTGTCCACACACACATACTTACCAAAACTCACACGAACCTCAGCCTCTGCACGAGCCCAGCCCTGCACACATGCACGCGAGCCCAAGCGTCCGCACGAGCCGCCATGAAATATTCAACATGCTTTAATGAGACAGATGCACTTGCTCGTTCCCGACGTGTGTTTGTTAAGTACCCACAATGCCCAGAGGTCCTGACAGCCACTGATACAGACGGGCACCTGCTCGACCTTGGCGCGCAGCTCTCCTGATGGGCTCGCATCGCATCACACATCACTCTCTTGGAAATAAGTGTGTGTTTGTGTGAGCGCAAGTGTGCGATTGGGTGCATAATAGCCTGTAAGCAACCCCAGCTTTGATTATAGAAGTCCATTAAAAGAGGATAAGTGAAGGATACATTTCCATTTAAGCACTGAAACAGTGGGGAGGAATTGGCTGTAATTACGCTCTGCAAGAATGAGGAGATTACAGTGGAATGCAGGCTAGCAACAATAACAGCTTTAAAAATTAAAAGCTCGTTTTGATCTGAGCCCTCTGCTTCGAATCAATCGCTCGAGTAAATAGGCGCCG